ATCTGATCAAATCAAGGTGTGAACAATATGTAGCAACAATCCAGCCTATACCAGATTGTCATCACTCCCGTAAATTCAGTGTCGCTTTCCATTTAAGGGCATAAGGGAAGGTTTTGTTTGTGTTAACAAGGCTGACACAAAAAAATTTGCTACCTAAAAGAGGGCAGTCGATGGTGCTACTCCCTGCACCCGAGTCAAACTGCACATGGTACCCTAGCTCAGTCAAGCTATTTTGGCATCTGAGGCAAGCAAACACATCTTCCCCTCTCTGAATAAAAAATGCAAAAACAATAAATTTAATCACCAACTATTTGCTGCCCTTTCAAAAGACACCCCAAATCAGCTGCACAAAGCAGCTGCCTCACTCTCCCAAATGGCAGGTTGAGCCAAAGGCGCTGTGTACAGCTTTTACATGTTTTACATAGAGTCATAGGAGAGCCAGTGTGGTGTAGTGGTTAGAGAACAGGACTAAGTCCTGTTAGACCAGGCTTCCTCAACCTCAGTCCTCCAGGTGCTTTTGGCCTACAACTCCCATGATCCCTAGCTAGCAGGACCAGTGATCAGGGATAATGGGAATTGTAGTCTCAAAACATCTGGAGGGCAGAGGTTAAGGAAGCCTGTGTTAGACTATGGTTCAAATCCTTGCTTAGCCATGAAGCCCATTGGGTGATTATGGGGCAGTCATAGGGTTGTTGTGAGGATAAAATGGAAAGGGGGAGAAATGCTTGAGAAATGCTGGGATATAAATGCAATAACAACTAAATAACTAAATAAAAGCAGTATGCAGATTATCTAAACCAGCCTTTCTCAACCTGTGGGTCCCCAGATGTTGTTGAACTACAACTCCTATCACCCCTAGCTAGCAAGGCCAGAGCTCAGGGATGATGGGAGTTGTAGTCCAAAAACATCTGGGGACCCACAGGTTGAGAACCACTGATCTGGATATCAAATTGCTGCATACTGAACAGCAGGGGACAGAGAGGCTTGGGGACTCGATGTAGTCCTCCAGGCTTCTATATGTGGCCTTTGGGACCCTCCCCAGGCCACATCCTGTTTCTCCAGGTGACCCCCACCCCACATTGGTCTTACACCCAGCTGGAATGTGTGCTTGGCAAGCATGCCATCTTGCCGCCTACAATTGAAGAGGCCAAGGCTGTGTAATGTCACCATTGCCCCCAGGGAATTTTGAGGCCTCCTCCTTGAAAATTTGGGAGACCCTCGACCCCCCCCCCCACACACACACGCACACTGGCATGTCTGGTCCTTGGACTCTTGACAATAGCTCTTGCATATCTGGATGAGAGTGTGTGTAGGAACTCCTTTACAAAAGTAACATTCACCTTCATTGCTCTGCCTAATTTTGCCTCCGGCCTTGCCCTCCCCTCGGAGGTGGCCCCTGGGAGGTTTCCAGCAAGGAAATGTGGCCTACAGGCTGAAAAGTTGTCCTTGTGGGTATTGAAATTACAGCTGGGGTTTTTCTTAAGTTACTTAGATGCTCTCTCACACGTCTCCCTTCCCTTCTCACCCTCTGCTCTCATGTACATATATAAACACAAACCTTGATTGCTCTACCCCCCAAAATAAAAAGAAAATAATTGGGGAGACGAAAGAAATTCTCCAGGGTCTCAAAACGCAAGTGCCAGGGACAAAATGGCCCTTTCCTACGGCCGCTATCAGCCATCATCTCCAGTATCAAATGGTTAATCATTTGCAAGTAAATAGAGAGTTCTGCCTGACAATTAGCCACAGTTTTGATCTGTGAAGGTGAGACAGAACTCAGCACATGCCACCCTGTCAAGGAGGAAGCACCAGTTTCTATAAATATTGAAGTGTGGCAATCATTATCATTATCACAAGCCAACGTGTATCCGATACACAATCTCCGTCAAGGAAGAACAGCATTGCTTTGCCACAATTATAGGTCTAAAAATACCTGTGTGTACTCCTCCCGGGCTTTGACTCCATCAATATCTTGCCCCCTTTCTTCCACTCCAGACCTTCACACCTGCCTCTACAAGAGAACTCTCAAAATCGGGATACCTCGGGGGCATAGGGACTGCTGTTCTGAGCACTAGGGAGATCAGGCTTCTCATATTTCTATCACACCTGGCTAATCCAGGTACTTGATATGGTATATCAACTACAGCAGCCATGGTTGGATGCTCCTTTCTGTGCTTTTCAGCCCAGAAAGGAATATGAGTACTGATGCTGCCAAAACTCATAATTACTCTACTTTCAATCTAGCATGGTTCTAATTCCCATAGATCACGTCCAATGAAGTTGTTGCACCTATGGAATGACTCTCACTCAAATCACGGAACTCCATCAGAGCAGATTAAGTGGGGTGTAGTTTCAGGGGTGCTTGTGGGGGGGGGAAGAGGGAGGGGCTTCCCAACCAAATAATGGGTCTTCTCCCTGAGACCCTGGATAGCTGTTGGAAGGAATGAGGAAGATATTTGGTTTCATGTTTTAACATGGAGCTACCAAATTCTCAGTTCCAAGAGCAATGTGTGGAGGGAAACACAAGTAGCCATCAAAATTCACACTTCTCTAAAATTGGTGATGCAACTCTCCAAACAAATAATGTGAACAAAACTGTGTACATCATAGGAACGGGAGTATTTATTTATTTATTTATTTATACCCCACCCATCTGGCTGGGTTTCCCCAGCCACTCTGGGTGGCTCCCAACAGAATATTAAAAAACACGATAAAAGATCAAACATTAAAAACTTCCCTAAACAGGGCTGCTTTCAGATGTCTTCTAAAAGTCAGGTAGTTGTTTATTTCCTTGACATCTGGTGGGAGGGCATTCCACAGGGTGGGCACCACTACTGAAAAGGCCCTCTGCCTGGTTCCCTGTAACCTTGCTTCTCACAGTGAGGGAACCGCCAGAAGGCCCTCGGCGCTGGACCTCAGGACCACCTGAACGATGGGGGTGGAGACGCTCCTTCAGGTACACTGGGCTGAGGTCGTTGAGGGCTTCAAAGGTCAGCACCAACACTTTGAATTGTGCTCGGAAATGTACTGGGAGCCAATGTAGGTCTTTCAGGACTGGTGTTATGTGGTCTCGGCGGCCACTCCCAGTCACCAGTCTAGCTGCCTCATTCTGGATTAGTTGTAGTTTCTGGGTCACCTTCAAAGGTAGCCCCACGTAGAGCACATTGCAGTAGTCCAAGGGGGAGATAGCTAGAGCATGCACCAATCTGGCGAGACAGTCCCGGCACCTTTCCCCCTCCCCCCATGTTAAAAGTGTGGCACTTACTGTAACAACTTCATGCTGAGTACTGACACCTTTTTTCAATGGAGAGTCAATGTGGTGTCATGGTTAGAGTGTTGGTCTAGAACCTGGGGGACCAGGGTTCAAATCCCCACTTGGTCATGAAGCTCATTGGATGACCTTGTGGCAGTCCAGCCAGTTAGGCTTCTCTGACTAACCTACCTCACAGGGATGCTGTGAGGATTAAATGAGGGGGGAGAGAACCATGTATTGTCGCCTTGAGCTCACAAGAGAAAAAAGTCATATATACAGTGGTACCTCGGGTTACAGACGTTTCAGCTTACAGACGCTTCAGGTTGAAGACTCTGCTAACCCAGAAATAGTACCTCAGGTTAAGAACTTTACTTCAGGATAAGAACAGAAATTGTGCAGCAGCGGAGCGGCAGCGGGAGGCCCATTAGCTAAAGTGGTGCTTCAGGTTAAGAACAGTTTCAGGTTAAGAATGGACCTCCAGAACGAATTAAGTTCTTAACCCGAGGTACCACTGTAAATGCAATAAGTAAATAATACATTAATGAAAATAACATATAAGATGCATTATACTAGTGAAAATTACTTGCAAAAATGTTTGTATCATCAAGTAAAATTACCTACAAAAGTATAATGCCGGGGGAGATCATACTAAAATGCTGATGAATTTTCATGAGGAATGATGTGGAAATGAATTTAAGATTGGAAAAATCAGAAAATAGGAGACACTGAAGTTGACAAATTTGCCCATCCCTACTGCCGCCAATCAAAGTTGACAACAGTGCCCAGGATCAACCAGCAGACATGAGTCCGAGACACCTTCCTGCATTCCCATATTTCTCCACGCTGTCCCAATATGCAAACATGGGCGATCCAGTTTCCAAAATCCAGGAATGTAATCCCCATACCTCACCAGTGCTTTGGTGCAAAGAATGACCCAATTTCTAATTCTTAATGAAGGTGGTGAGCTAGAGGCTTTTTAAAAATAGCAATGTATAATGAATTTATCAGCATGGGAATGGATGCATCTAAATCAGGGTACAGGGTGAATTCCATGTTGCAGTTAACTGCTTATTGGAGTCACTACTATGATGTAGAAGCTGAATGCTGTATCTTTATTTGTAGGAGTCTCCTTTTGCTTGCAAACCTCTCCAAAAGAATGTGGATCAGCTCAGAAGTAAAACAGTAAAATAAAGTAAAGGCAACTACTAGTAGAATAGATCTGAAACCAGCATGCATGGTCAAGAAAGCACAATTTGGGTTACATGGACTAGGCTGGAAAGTACGGTAATGCACTACAGAAGGGAGGGAGGAAAGTGTTCAGGGGCAGATGGCCTCCAGCCATGGAGGAAGGAGATAGACATCATGGCTAATAGACATTTATAGGCTTATTATCCAATAATTTGTCTCATCCTCTTTTAAAGCCATCCAGATTTGGTGGTATTCACTACCTCTTGCAAGAGCAAATTCCATAATTTAACTATAGAATCATGGAATTGTAGAGTTGGAAGGGACTACAAGAGTCATCTAGTCCAATGCAGGAATCTGGCCCAACATGGGGCATGAACCCATGACCCTGAGATTAAGAGTCTCATGCTCTACCAACTGAGCTATCTATGTAAAACCAAAGGGACATCAATAAGTTGCCTTAGACTGTGCCAGATCATTGGTCCATCTAGCTCAGTACTTCCTACACTAACTGGCAGAAGCTCTCCAGGATTTCAGACAGGTAGTCTCTCCCAATCCTACCAAGAGATGCTGGGGATTGAACCTGGGACCTTCTGCATCCAAAGCAGATGCTGTACCACTTAGCCATGGCCCACCACTGGCATGCAGCCCCCAGAAACCTGCCTATAGTGAGATGTGGTCCTTGGGCTGAATAAGGCCCTCCCACCACTGGCTTATGGGCTTACACTGATGTTCTCAAGAGTGCAACGGGGCCTATGAGCTTTGCCAATGCGTAACTTGTCCGATAAAAAAGAAGAGTTTAATTCTGGACATCTCCCAGATGTCCGCTTAATTGACGCATTAAATTACAGAATCAGAAGCCAGGGAGTTCCGTAAATCACTAATTCTCAGTAGCTGCCTTGCTATTAGGGAAGTCCAGGAAACTTGCCACTCTCGGAGCTTCAACATTTTCTGGAAGCATTCATAAGGGAGTGTTGCTCAGAGAAGAGGGGTGTTGTGGGAATATTGTCACCACCTACAAAACCACGTTCAGTGATGTTTCACATCCCGTTGCAAAAAGGTAGAGGGGGAGAACGCAAGAACGGAAGAAGGGTCTGCTGGATCAGGCCAGCAGCCCACCTAGACTAGCATTCTGTTATCATAGTAGCCACTCAAGCAGTACCTGAGCACAGGAGTACTCTCTCCTCCTCCAGCAACTGGCATTCAGAAGCGTTACTGTCAGGTGTGTGTGCAGGAGCCAGGCCCTGTGACCAATAGGACTTTGCAGGACTGAGGCCTTCCTAAGTTTGTTCTGAAGAGGCAAGGCGCGGCCACACAGGTGAGGCCGATTGGTAACTCACAGCACCTGGTGGCAAGAGCTGGGAAGGGATATAAGGTCAGCATTTCCCTTTGGCGCTTTGCCACAGCAACACGCTTCCTGCCTTGGGCTTCTTGCTTCCTGATCCTTGAACCTCGGCTTCTTGACTCCCTGCTTCCTGACCCTCAAACCCTTGGCTTCCTGACTCCTGGTTTCTGGACCCCCACTCCTGCTCCCACCCCGCCATCTTGCCCCCGGTCCTGACGTCCCCTGACGGGACTTTGATCGCCCATGAACTGGACCATGACAGTTACTGCCTCCATGACCAGTAGCCATTGAAAGCCTTGCCCTCCATGAATTTGCCCAATCCTCTTGTAAAGCCATCCAAGTGAGTGGCCATCACTGCTTCCTGTGGCAGTGAGTTCCATAGTTTAACTATTCACTGCATGAATAAGTTCTTCCTTTTCTCTGTCTGAATCTTCCAAAATTCAGCATCACTGGATGTCCATGAATTCTCTACCATTATGAGGGAGAAAAACATTACTCTGTCCACTTCCTCAATGCCATGTATAGTTCTATAAACTTCAATCATGTCACTTCTTGCTCATCTTTTCTTTAAACAGAAGAGTCCCAAACTCGGAAACCGTTCCTCACAAGGGAGTCACTCCACAGCCTTGAGCATTTTGGTTGCCATCTTCCAATTCTACGACATCCTTTTTGAGGTGAGGAGGCCAGAAAGTTACACAGTGTTCCGAATGTGGTCACACCATAGATTTGTGAGGGGGTGGGGTGGGACACAGACCCATTGCAGTGGGTGGACCCGATCCATTTCCCCTTGGTTGACTAGTTAGGACAGATTGTGGACAGCGTTCTGCTTTTTCCTATAGAAAAGAATGGAATGTGGATGGACAAAATCCATTTTTAGACGCTTACTGGATGATTTCAGTGGTGCAGTTTGGCAACATGACACTGTATTCAGCCAAACCTTTCAAGATTTAATGGAGGCAATGCAAGGATATACATTCTCTGCTTCCTACAGTGTGAAAAACCTTTTGCTGTCTGGCATTTTATCCTGCTTCTTACACGGTCGTCATCGTCCCCCCACCTCCCTCCCCCCAAAAAAGAGAGAAAGAAAACCTATTTGAAAATCAATTGGAGAAAGAATTGTAGTATTATTTCTAAGGGATGTTGCCCATGGGTATACATCCACTTGCTCTGAACTCATGCCCAGCTTCCAGGTGTTCATAAAAGAGAGGTATGCTGGAGGTAGCTGAAAACGTGCAGCTGCATCAAATATATGGAGCTCCTAGGCATCGATTCGCTCCGGTCATTACTATCTTGGAAACCTGGCTTGAAACTTCATGCCGAGAAAACAGCAGGAAGACACGGGAGCTGTGCACAAGGCCAGATTAACTAAATAGCCTATTATGCTGCAGTTTAGGGACCTTCCCTCGGTGTCCCTTAAGCATAAATCTGAACGCAGTCTGAATGCACTGGTAGTGATGCCTAGGATTAGGTGCTCGTACTAGCATTGTAGAGAACATAGAATCATAAGAGCAGCCTGCTGGATCGGCCAACGGCCCTCCTAGTCCAGCATCCCGTTCTCATAGTGGCTGACCAAATGCCTGGAGGAACCTGTAAACTGGACCCACGCACAAGGCATACCCTCCAACATTTCTCCAATGAAAATAGGGACATCCTATTCCATTATTATTAGTCATACCTCGGGTTACAGACACTTCAGGTTGCATTTTTTCAGGTTACGGACCCGCCGAAACCTGGAAGTACTGGAATGGGTTACTTCCGGGTTTTGGGGGTCGCACATGTGCAGAAGTGCTAAATTGCGCATGCGCAGAAGCACTGAATCTCAACCCATGCATGCGCAGACGCACCGCTGCGGGTTGTGAATGCTGCGGGTTGCAAATGTGCATCCCGCATGGATCACGTTCGAAACCCGAGTATCCACTGTATTATTATTATTATTATTATTATTATTATTATTATTACCCCACCCATCTGACTGGGTTGCCCCAGCCACTCTGGGCAGCTTCCAACATATATCAAAGCATAATAAAACTTTTTAAAACTTCCATAAACAGGGTTGCCCACAGATGTCTTCTGAAGGTTGCATAGTTATTCATCTACTTGGCCCAGGGGTCGCATAACTCCCTATCCTCCAACATTTCTCCAATGAAAATAGGGACGTCATAAGGAAAAGTGGGACGTTCCAGGATCAAATCAGAAACTGGGATGGCTTCTGTAATTCCGGGACTGTTCCTGGGAAATAGGGACACCTGGAGGGTCTGCAAGAGCCCTCTTCTCTCCTGTGGTTTCCAGCAACTGATATTCAGAAACATTTGCTGCCTCCAACTGCAGAGACCAGACACAGCCATCATGGCCAGTTGCTTCTACAGTGGTATCTCGGGTTAGATACGCTTCAGGTTACACATTCCGCTAACCCAGAAATTGTGCTTCAGGTTAAGAACTTTGCTTCAGGATAAGAACAGAAATCGGGCTCTGGCGGCGTGGCGGCAGCAGGAGGCCCCATTAGCTAAAGTGGTGCTTCAGGTTAAGAACAGCTTCAGGTTAAGAACGGACCTCCGGAACAAATTAAGTACTTAACCTGAGGTACCACTGTATATGAATTTGTCTAATCCTCTTTTAAAACCATCTAGGCTGCTGGCCATCACTGCCTCCCGGGAACCAAGTTCCATTGCTTAACTAAGCACTGTGTGAAGAATTCCTTCCTTTTCTCTGTTTTGAATCTTCCAGCATTCAGCTTCATTGGATCCATGAGTTGTGAGGGAGGAAAACGTTTTCTCTACCCGCTTTCTCCATGCCATGCACTATTTTGTGAACATCTATCACATCCCACCTCTTATTGGTCTTTTTTCCTACTCCAGAAAGTCCTGAATGCTGCAACCTTTCCTCATAGAAGTCGCTCCAACCTCTTGATCATTTTGCTTGCCCTTTTCCGAAGCTTTTCCAGCTCAGCAATATCCCTTTTGAGGCAAGACACCCCAGCTGCATTCGCCTGGCAGTCTATTCGGTCTCCCCAGTGTTTCCCTAACTGCTAATTCCCGTGCTATATTTGAGCTTTAGCATGAAGTGCAGGCCACTCCCAGAAATCTAGTGGAATATAATGGAAGTTCAGCACTCATTTCCATGTTAATTGCATCCAGAAATAAAAATAACATAAGAATATCCTGCTGGATCAGGCCTATGTCCCATCTTGTCCATCATCCTGTTCTCATGGTGGCCAACCTGTGGGAAGCCGTCCTGCAGGATCCGATCGCAAGAACCCTCTCCCCTTCTGTTGTTTCCAGCAAATGGTATTCAGAAGCACCACTGCCTCCAGCTGTTGAAAATAGCCATCACGGCTAGCAGTCATGGAGAAACTTATCCTCTATGAATTTCTCCAATCCTCTTTAAAGCCATCCAATATCTGAAAGATCATAACTAATTTACTGGAGGGAGGGGGTGCAAATCTCTCTATCATGCATGCAGAGCTGCCAGATCAACACTACATTCTGGATATGCAATATATGCCCAACGAAGAACACTTTGCCAGGTTTAAACACAACGAAAACTTCACACTCCCCCACCTTGCCCACATCTACTCTACCTCCCTCCCCCTCCATCGATACCCCGTAAATCCCAGAGCTTCCTGCACCACTGGCCCTATAAATCCCTCACTGCTGACCCCATAAATCACCTCCTTCCTTTTCTGCAAAGGCCCCGTACCTTCTTCATCCCCCTAAATCCCCGGCTTCTGTGCGACACCGGTTCAGTAAATCACCCGCTTCGGAGCCCATAGGCGCCTCCTTGCCTCCACCCTCATCAATCCTGCGCTGGCATCCCCATAATTCCATTCACCTTGCTTGCACGCAGTCCCAGATGGGCTGCTTTTTCAGGGACGGGATTCAGCTCGGCGGATGAAACGACACAGGGGAGCAGGAGGTGCGGGGCAAGGCCCATGGAAACAAGGCTGGGGAGGCCCGTGTTTCAAGCAACTTTCCCACCCAACCATTCCTTATTCAGAAAAAGGAGAGAGAGGGAGAGAGGGAGAGAACATGGCTGATTTTCTTGGCTCCATTCAGCCTCCTCCCGGCTTCAATGTGACTCATTGGCCGTCACACGCTGCTGAAGGACGTTCCGCACGGCTGATCACAGGAACAGTCACCTTCCTGCTCAAAGTTACAGCTCCACAAAGTCTCTTCCAAACAGGGAAGGGAGAAACGGTAAGAAGCAGAAACTAAGGACCACTCCAAACGCTCATCATTTAAACACGTTCATCTACCACACAACAAACATCTCACATAAAGGGGCAACACATCCACTG